AATTATAGATTTTGTTACTGGGAATATTGATAACATTTGAAACACGACACTTTTTAAATTTTTTTTGTCAGCTTTTCATCCATGGTTTATTTATCGGGAGAGAATCCAGAGGAGATTTCAGCCATCGCATGTGTATATCTGTAAAATTATAAAATTGTGAAAGTAATACAGTGTACATCATTGTTATGCTTCAATTAATGATTTTCAGCAAAAATAAAAAAATGTTTTCAAATAGTAAACATACAGTAACAACATTGGTCATGGACGAAAAATTATCAATTAAAAATATATTAAACTTGATTTACAGTTATGAAACGAGTTATTTCAACTTATACTTAACACTCTTGTTGGCCCAGATATTAGCCTGCTGTGGGTTTAATGTGGGAGGATGTTAGAGTCGCCCAGAGAAAACCCACAGGTGACCCATGCCAGGGCCCATATACCTTTTCATGTACGATCACGGAATCGAACCCCGGCCGCCTTGGTGAAAGGCAAGTGTGTTATCCTCTATATGCCACCCACGTTACCAACCAATTATAGATTGATGGGTATATATGTACCATAATGTAGGTAAAATACATATGTATACAGTGTATATATTATATATACAGTACTGTACTGAATTGTGAAGCTTGTCCTCTATTTCAACCAGATATCAATATACATTGTACATGCCAGGTGAAAAGGCCCCTTGTGGGCCAGGTTTGACCCATAACTATGTGCCATGTGTGCTTTTTAGAACTAGTATGGTCTGTGTATATCAATTATTCAAGTCCTTGAAAGCCTCATGCAATAATGAATATACGTACTTCAGTACATAGTTATTCATTTTGGATATAGTTTATAATCTACACTGCCCAATGTTTCAAATTGTTATAAAATTGATAGTTTTACATTCGGAGAACATGATATGCTGATCATGAAGGTGACCCATTAGATCTGGTTTATATACATAATCAATATGTTAATTTCTGTTTGAGTTTCCTAGATTTTAACACTAGACTATTTCCATCTAATGGCCATCAGTGGGATTAATTACTTCACTCTATATAGCAAGGATAATTGTGTTTAATATCCACTGGTGTCATGTTCAGTCAACACAAGGGTCAACATAGGATGGTATGTTACACAAAAACACTTGCTACAGAATGAGATCAGGTTGTAATGCAAGTGATATGCATTGTTATTAGGACTGATGGGAGTGTAGCTTTGGATTTTATTGGAACAACTGAAATGATTGACATTCAATTAGCTAGCCTTTAGATCTGTAGAGGTACAACAGGGAAAAGAGTTGTCATCGCTTTGGCTAGCATATAGGATCAACTTGAATTATTATTATTGTCATATTGGTTAGCCTAATTGCAACTGCATTTGCAGTTATCTGGACATTGACTAGCCTGTACAAACAACTGGAATTTCATTATTATGACATTGGCTCGCCCGTACAAACAACTGGAATTTTCATTATTGTGACATTGGCTAGCCTGTACAAACAACTGGAATTATATCATTATTGTGACGTTGGCTAGCCCATACAAACAACTGGAAATTTCATTATTGTGACGTTGGCTGGACTGTAAGAACAACTGGAATTATCATTATTGTGACATTGGCTAGCCTGTACAAACAACTGGAATTATCATTATTGTGACGTTGGCTAGCCCGTACAAACAACTGGAATTATATCATTATTGTGACATTGGCTAGCCTGTACAAACAACTGGAATTTTCATTATTGTGACGTTGGCTAGCCTGTACAAACAACTGGAATTTTCATTATTGTGACATTGGCTGGACTGTACAAACAACTGGAATTATGATTTTGACATTGGCTTGCCTGCAGGAACAACTGGAATTATCATAATTGTGATATTGTCTATCTACAACTAAAAAGACCAACCGGAATAACTGTAAATGTGACATCGGATTGGCTAGCCTAAACGTATGTGTACAACTGGAATTGTCATAATTGTGACATTGTCTATCTACAAGACCAACCGGAATAACTGTACCGTTAAATGTGACATTGGCTAGCCAAAACGTATGTGTACAACTGGAATTATCGTGATTGTGACATTGTCCATCTACAAGACCAACCGGAATAACTGTAAATGTGACATTGGCTAGCCAAAACGTATGTGTACAACTGGAATTATCGTGATTGTGACATTGTCTATCTACAAGACCAACCCGAATAACTGTAAATGTTATATTGGCTAGCCAAAACGTATGTGTACAACTGGAATTATCATGATTGTGACATTGTCCATCTACAAGACCAACCCGAATAACTGTAAATGTTATATTGGATTGGCTAGCCTAAACGTATGTGAACAGCTGGAATTATTTCAACTGTGAAACAGGATAGTGAATATATCTAAATTTGAACATCTGACCTCTACCTATAGTCAGATGATCACAAACACTTCGTGTCTGGTCACCTACCATTGACCCAGTCCAATTGTGCTACATTAATTAACTCCTGTGTTTGTAAGGAACATCTCTAGATCTGAAGACACTTCATTTGTCATTTCTTTCAGCCTCACATATATAGGTCACAATGGCAACCAACCAGAACACCTATCCAAATATGCATGCATATTCCAATTGAAGGTGTGTAGCGCTAGCCTAACAAACCAGACCATGCATACTTGCCAACTCTCTCTATTTTTGATGAGGGAGACTTCAGATCTTAGACCCTAAAATTCAGGATTTCAAGTTCCACTGAATTTGCTAAACTATTTCTATTTTCTGAGCTCTGATGATTGAATCTGAGAAAACAGCTTAAAAGATGCCATTTAAAAGTGTTATTTTCCCCTAGGGTGTATTTGAACCTGTGTGATCTCCCCCATTGAAATTTTAAAAAGGTTGTCATGCATGGACCATGAGCATGTAGACCAGAGTTTTAGATTTTCATTGTATAAAACTACATACAGATGTGCCGGGAATTAATCTAATCCAATTAAAAGGAAAACATGGTCAAATTTACTATATCACATGGATTAGAACCCATGCACTATTATTAGTGAAAGCTTTACCAATGCAAATGAGCTGATCATGACTGATTAATGATTGATAGAGCACAGTTCAATCCCGAGATCATTAATTGACAACAATAATTAAATTATATATTTAAAATACAAGATGTTCATTAAATTGGATGTTGTATTTAAATTTGATAATGTGTAAAATATGTAATTCAATCATTTCCATGTGCTCCAAAAGGTAATATTGACAGGAATTCATTTCCTGTAGAATTACCACATAGTATTGTACCTTTATTTGTTAGCACTATCTATATTGCTTGTAAGGCATACATGTATATACACAAGAATTTGTGAGCTGTTTCAATGTAATTGGTTTTTTTTCTCTCCAACTGAAGTAATTTAGTTTTGTATTTTGGCAGAAATGTTCTACTGGTGAAAACTCTCTCTCAAATAATCGAATCGGGGAAAGTCGTTTCCGCAATGTTGGACGTGTATTGAACATTGGTTGGGAAGATGTGGGCTTCATGCATGCATGTATAAAAATACTTCACTCTTTGTTTATACATATATATGTATATATGTACAAAGAATGTGATTACACAATTCAGATTGAGGCTTAACATTTCCAGATCAGAGTCTTTTGAAGACTTGGTTGTGTCAGACACTGACTATTGGTGAGCATGCATGCTGACTGGGTGCTTTAGGTGCTCTGTGTGTAGCATCACAACTGTCTGATGGTCTTTATGTGTACTTTAGGTTCAATTATATTACATTTGGACTTGGCTAGAATGCAGAATTAGGGTTCCGTCCATGTATATCAGCAACATATGTATATCAGCAACATATGTATATAATGTTATAGAAATCACAGATTGGTGGATCTGTGCATGTAGTCATGGGCAGTCATGACCATAGTAGGAGTTTGGCCAAGCTGGACATATGGTGCACATGGTATACGTAGTTTGTTAGGAAAATATTGGTCTTTTTACAAATGGACCGGTATATATACGTAGAATATGAAGTACAGGGGGTACATATTGTCTGTCTTTTGTTACTTTGATCTGTAGCCAAAGGTGTTACACAACAAAACATGTGCATGTAAGGTCTGTTGTTTATCATTTAGGCCAGACATGTATATATTGTTTTAACAGTAGAACTTACATGTAACCCTATGTACATGCATGTGTAATCAATATGTACATGAAGGCGAAGCACAGGCCAAATCAGTTTCACTGGTGTTACGTATACTTCAGTTATAGAAAGACATTACTGGAGTTAGGGAAAAGAAAATTCATGAACTTTAGATTTTCTCACATGCATCTTCGATAATTCTTTCCTGAAGTTTCCTATGCTTGAAATTGAATGAAGATGGAGGATTTTCTCAAATAAGCTTGAAAGATGATAATGTTATAGCCATTACATTTTTCTATCCATTGAACCAATTTGAGTATGATGATATTAGCTGTCTTCAAATGCTTACATACATACACCATCAAAAAACATATCTGTATACTGGGAAATTTTCGCTGCAGTTTTGTTTTCGCCTTTTTCTCCTTCTGTAATGACGGCGAATTTACCATTTCATGAAACATTAATAAACAGCATAATATTCATAGTAATTAAATGTGAAGGGCGTAAATTAAAGAACACTGGGTGATCATGCATATGGCTTATTCTGAAGAAGGGTGAAAGTTTGACTGGTGAAAATTTCCCGGTACATTGTATATATATACAGCTAGCATGCGCAGTAGCCATTGAAAACAAAAATTTAGTTTGATTCTCCTTGTCAGTATATATATCATCATTTCTTATACTTAACTGTAACAAATATTAAGTAAAAAAAAAGAACAAGACCCAGAGCCAGCAGACATGGGTTATCTTGGTTGAAGAAGTCGATGACTCACTGTAATATAATATATACATACCGATATACCTAATATGCAGAAAGGTGTATAAACAGTTTATGAAAGTTCTTATCGTGTCATTATAATTCTCTGTTGTACTATTTGGCAGATCACCATGGAGACTATAAAGAGGAGACTCAGTTTTCGGAAAAAGAAACCACACGTTCCAGAATGTTCAAAACCTCACCAATGGCAGGAAGATGAGAAGAAGGTGCGCGACGGCACATGCAGTTTCCAAGTCAGGGTAAGTTTACATATGTACAGTAGCTATAGGATATGATTTGTTTGTAAGGCATTCCACGGGTTTCCAGCCCAAGAGAATGTTTGCCTGACCAAGTCAAACAAAAGATTCAACAAGATTCTCCTTCTTTCCAAGGACTGTGATACAATGAAACCATTCCATGAGTTTCCAGCCCAAGAGAATGTTTGCCTGACCAAGTCAATCAGAAGATTAAAAAAGACTCGCCTTCTTTCCAAGGACTGTGATACAATGAAACTGTCTACCAGGACATGTCTGCAGTACACCTTTAAACCTGAGGTGTAGAAAATCTATACCAAGTCAAACATAAGATTCAACAAGACTCGCCTTCTTTCTAAGGACTGTGATACAATGAAACTGTCTACCAGGACATGTCTGCAGTACACCTTTAAACCTGAGGTGTAGAAAGTCTGTTCTTGTCTTTATCCAGTCCCACTCTGGTCTTTCTCACTTTTCTTTACCATTTCTTGCCTTACTTTTGTAAGGTGCTATGCTACATGTACACATATATCAACCTTGAGAATTATCCCTTTCTGTGAAATGTTCCACAAAGTTACCAAACCAACCCACAACTACCTAAAGCCTTACTAAACCATGCCTAACCAGCTCAGACCTTCTCCAACTCGATCAACCCACCTTTCCCCAAAACCCAGGACATGGTCCAACACCAACAAGCTGATTTGACATTCCTAGAGATGGCCTAAATGAGCTATCTCATGACTTCCAGTACAAAGGCATGGCCTTAGCATCCTTAACAGAAGTTATATCCTATGTTGTGTGCCTTCAATGCTGGATCGTGATCCTGAAGATAAGATGTGAAATGGCTGACTTGTGTGCCCAGTGATTTTTGGGACTCCGATATTTGAGTCCAATTAGAGACTCATATGCATGCTCTTCCTGTGGGACTCACTAACTTTTGGAGAATACACTATACATTTAATTTTGTACCCTTGGTAATAGGACTTATGAAAATTTTGAAAAAAAAAACGTTCAGGATTCGGTAGAAAAAAATCTGAAAGTCTTTCTGGCTGAAAGTCTAAGAATCTATGGAGTCTCTCGTTGTACGACACCAGTGATTTTTGTAGAATTTTTTCTACCAAAATGTCTGGACTTATACTAATGCACTTACCAAGATAGCCAACTGCGCATGAGCTACCTGGTCAACAGAAGCATCCTGACCCAAATGAGCTACCACAGGGCCATCTGAAACAAAATCTAAGGGGAGGTCACTCTATGAAAAACTAAATTGGAATTCTTTACTGCTTTGTCTGCAGTGGGACATGGATGCTTAAATGCTGATTTAGTAATTAAGTCAATTAATAAAAACATGGAACCAGGAAGTAGTAATTATTACTAGACTAACTGTACAGTTCATTGATATGGAACCTCCTAAAACATTCCAGCACATTATATATACATTGCTGTATATATGTTACTTCTGATATTTCCATCGATACAGATTTGATTCTAAAAATTCCTATGTAAATGGTGTTGGCATGGATGAGTGCACTGTGTATTGAGTGGCTCTCGATCAGCCCTTGTGGGAGGCCTGGTCCAGAAGACTCAGATATTGGCAGGAGATTTATACTGCAATCTCTTGAAGTATCCATATGTGTAATAAGCTTATGATTGTATGTTTGCACTATAGTAGTATGGATTTATAACCACTTGCCAGACTTAACATTTAGTGGTTGAACAGGCATCGACCAAAACTCCTTTGGTGTGAAAGCATAATATGTAGTTTAAGATATAACACAGAATTAATCGTGTAAATGTATATGATATGGACGGTGGTACATCCTGTGCCGGGGTTCTGACACAGCGGGCTAGGGACATGTGTTGGTATCATGAACAAAAATAATCCCTGCCAATATCGTCTCATTAAAAATGTATGATCATGATGATTTAGGCCTTTAACACTAATGGAATTATATGGTGAATTCAGCAAGCATTTAGATGATATATGATGACACACAAAAGTGTGTGTGTATACATATCTGAAAACAGTATAGATTGTATTGTTAAAGATATACATTTTCATATTGGGTTTGGGTTGTTTGTGTTTAACGTCCTGTAAACAGCTATAGTCATTTAAGGATGTGCCGGGTTTTGGTGGTGGAGGTAAACAGGCTAGGGCTACCTGGGGAGAATCCACCGACCAGCAGCTAATACCTGGTGACTGCCCCAGTTCTGGTGTAGGCCTCGAACCCGAGACCCAGTTCTGGAGGGCTAGTGATCGAAGACGGTCAGACACCTTAACCACTAGGGTCACAGCAGTACCCTACATTGTAGTATTGGCGCAGTTGATGATATCATTATCAGTAGGTTTTGCAGACATTTTTCAGGCAAGTCCTGAACCTCTTTTTAAAAATTTGTCGAGTCCCATTTCTAAGAAATATACATTGTAATGGGTCCTCAGAAAGTTTGTAAGCACAAGTCCAGGGCTCAGATATTGAAAGTCCCAAAGTCCCAGGATGTTTTGTTAAAGCTTACCTATACAATATACTGAAGCTATGAGATTTACAGGCAATTCTTACTTCTGAAGCGAGTTTCGGGCTGAAAAATGTTCACATTTCCTGTACTAGCCCACACTTGATTACAATCAGAGACTGACATGTGCTAGTCTTTTCACACTCGGACCACCATGTTGATTTTTGAATGTCAGAAGTGCCATATCCTGGATCCCTATTTCCAAAACATTCAAAAACAAAATTCATGGTATTAAGTCATCCACACCTGTTTTGCATACATTACATGTCACAATATACATGTACTTATCATTTAACACCTCAAATTGTATATATGTCTGCCATATGTAATCATAGACCCTTCAATGAAAGATGTGACTAAGTGTCTTGTGATACTGAAGAGGAAAGGACTTATCTGTTATAACAGTCTGACTGATCATGAACTGTAGGATACATACATGTGCCCATAGCCCCCAGCACACAAGGCAGGCAGTACATGTACAAGTGGCTTAGAGATGGAGGATGGAGGCCATATATCTTACAAGGGATATTTAAGCAGACAACCAGGAGCTTGTAATGAGCTTTAGAAAGATCGTGCGAGCAGTCATTGCGTTTAAGTTAATTAAAGAAAGACAATATTTTCTCCTTTCTGTCATCATGTTCGGTAACACTATTGTCTTGTTTGCGTATACACTGTTACGTGAAGGATATTTACATATTTATAGGCGATAGAGGAAAGAATAAAACTGGTCGTGCTTCAATCAATATAGCATAATTAGATGAGTCTGCAGAAAGAGTTTATGCCCAGAATGTTTAAACATTTCAATACTTCCTGGATATACAGACCAACAGTTTTATGACATTTGTATTCATAACAATGAGCAATATCCATTTCCATATATACGATACATGGGTTGTGTTGAGTTAACAGGAAACTATTTTATTATTACATTATTACATTACGAAACGTCTCAGTTTATGTTTACAGGTTGCCTTGAGTTGAGTTTAGCTTTTCTGTTCTATAATCTGCATTTTGTGTACATTGTGGTTTTTTTTCTCCGGTTTTAGTACCTGGGTTGCCTGGAGGTGTTCGAGTCACGAGGGATGCAAGTATGCGAAGAGGCTGTGAAAACGTTAAAAGCTGTAAGTATCATGCTAGAGAATTCATGGCTTTGCTCGTGTTCAGCTACTGGAAAGCTACCTGTTTCGAAGGTCATATTTGTACGTTGACTCCGATGTTGCTTCTGTAATCAAATTGCACGGAGTTCACGTAATTTAAAAAAAACCACTTTGAGATTAAAATGAAACAGTACATTTATTACATTATAGTACCAAATAGGTCACAGCACCCGAGGGAAAACAGAACATGTCCTACATAGCACTACTTGTTTAAAGCTGCTAAATTACAGAATCATTTTAGCCTAGTGCTATAGGAACCCTCATTTGATATTTGGATAATTGGGAAGAAGAGGATGAAATAGTAATATACATGAAGTTAATTTTAAGTCACCCCTGGGGGAACCCCCAGTGGGGACTATTAATTCCGGTTTCAGTCCCAGCTTTTGACATCTGTTGCTTTTCCCTAAGAAGAGCTTTTCTGTGTTTGCTTCTGTCAGAATATACCAGGCGCTAATTACAAGGCGTTCCAAATTTCACACCGGAATTACATATAACCTAAAGATGTTCCGAGTATGAATCAGGCACCTTTGAGGTTCCCAAAGGGGTAGACTGTTATATAATAAATTGCTACTGATTGGTTTAGATATTTTATGTCTGACCAACGACTATCGTTAATATTTGGTATAGTGCATACTTTTTTTAAAGGAAAATTGAAATGCCATGAAAGGGGGGTGTACATGACACTCAAAGACAATCCAAAACCAGTCCTAGGTTGAGACCATTTATCGTATTTTTTTCGAGAATTTTTGGAAATATTTTGAAATACGCTCGCAGCAATAAATTGCTAAATTTCATTGAATAACCCCAATTGCATTGCCAATTTAACTATTACGAAAAGTTGCAAGTTTTAGTCATATTATACGATAGAATCGGATAAATAAACTCGCATAAAGTTGGCCAAACTTTTCAGGACGTGACGTTGTGAATTGATAAATACCACATATGGGGAAACATAACGAAGAATTGCATCAAAATTAGCACTCTGGGGTTAAAATGTCGTTCTTGGGTAAAATCATGCTGCACTATTCAATCTCGACAATAGGAATGTGTCAAAATGACATGGTGAAAGTGGCGAAGTTTGCAAGTTTGTGTACCGCAAAGAGTCAAGGTTGCGTGATACTATTAACCGGCAGGAATTCACAAGGTGACATTCATGCGAATTGAACCGATAATGATAAAAGTTAAAGTTTGAAAATAAATATTAATAGGCTCAAAACAGTCAAAAATACATTTCGATCTTTTCTTTTCAAAGGAGAATTGCTGAAATCACAATTGTTTGGTGTTCTTCATGTCTCACGAATTTGGCTGTTGGCGGTCCTCGTCGAACCTGTTTGAGTGACTGCTTTTAGGCGTACATACTGCCGATATTGATGTCCGATTCAGTCGGATTTGCAGACATTCAGAAAACTACTTGGAAAAGTGTGTTTTATAACAAAAAAAAGTAGAAGATAAGAGTCTTTTCTGAAACTTATTGTTGTGAAAACAACATCGTTATATTCCAATAACCTGTTCTGCCCATGCAAGGTGACCGTGTCAGCAGATGTCCCCGTACTCGAGGTGTCGGTCAACGCTAACGTTATATTTGTCACATGCTTTCTTATTAATTCCATGTGTTGGCATGGCTACCTAAACAGCGTGTATGTATTAACACCTGGTCATTGATTGACAGGTGGAAATACATCCGTTGTAGCTTGGTCAATGATTTATCTGAAATGATCATACAGGAGATGTGGTGACTTTCATGTCATTTTGACATATTTCTAGACTTTAAATTATATTCTGTTAATTATAATATAAAACCATGTCCCCATATCTATTTGCTATATATATTTATATATTACTTAACGACTTTTTTTTCAATTTCCCAATTTCAAGAATTAGCAGTGGAAATCCCCAATTATAAAAATTGGCTATGAAAATTCCTGAAAACCTTAATGCTCAGAGCCTCATTTTAAAACTGCTGCAGTCAGTTCTGTAACCGCTCTTGAGATAAATACCTTGTGAAGTTTTCATCTTTTCTTGACTTTGTGTTTTGAGAGCACTAAAAAAACTGGCACTAGCAGCTTAATGTATTGTCAACTTGTTTACAACGTGCACTATGTGGAGAGAGCTGCCTAGACTTCAATGAAACTATCAGTACGCAAGGAGAGTTGGTCATGTTCCCCTTTTTGTAAAACCATGTCCATCCACACCTATCATGAACTTCAAAGATTTCAATAAGAATTTGTATATGTCATCAGAATGGAAGATAGTTGTTTACTGTGTAATATATTTCCATTGTTAATTGTATAGATCTGTTACAACCAAATGTTACTCCTAAGGAGTTATGTAGGGTATGAGTTTGAAACTATGACTTACAGTTCTAGTTTACAACTCATTATATGCAAGGTGTTATGAAATCTAAATATGGACAATTTCCATATTGATATATATTGATATACATCATATTCCGTGACAAGTCTTGTGTGGAGCAGTCACAGGGGAAGTTTGGACAGTGTTTGTAGCGACACCTGCAGGTCATTTACTGTACTACTATATGATACTGTGGGTCTACCGTGTATAGAACATTTCCATAGAATGGTTCTGAACCTTGCTTGTAGCGACACCTTCAGGTCATTTCCTGTACTATATTGATACTGTGGGTCTACTGTGTATAGAACATTTCCATAGAATGGATCGGAACCTTACTTGTAGCGACACCCTTAGGTCATTTCCTGTACTATATGATACTGTGGGTTACCATGTATAGAACATGAATGGTTCGGAACCTTGCCAAAACACAACACTACTCCACCCACTTGGGCCCACCACCCCAGCCTCTGTTGCATGATATGTTGTTTGGCTTGGATTTCACTGTGACCGGTTCCCTTAGCAGTACAGATGTGGTGGTGTAAGGCTTCTTTAATGTTTAATGAACTGAAACATAACATGGAAAAAAAATATGTGTACAAATGTCAGTTATTGGAAGAGCATTTGGTCCATAAACCTTTTTCATAGACGACACTAGGGTCATAAAAATGCTTCGTAAAAGGGGCATATACACAACATAAAAACTAAACGTATCAAGGTCTGTATGTTATGGGTGCATTCCGCTGGGTTGAAATATGACGTGTTTATTTGCAGATAATAAGCACAGGTTTCTTTCCAATAGTAGTTCTTGCATTGATATTAGTTCAGATAAAGATAATCACAATGTATCTGAACCACAACCAGACCATGTGAGACCCTGTGTTAATTAACTAGACTCTGAAAACTTCCCCTTACCTGAACATAAACCTTTGGTCCCTGCGGTGATTGGTTTAGGCAGGTGTCACTTTGTATAGGGAAAAAATAAACAGGATTCCACTACAGAATGTCAACATAAACTTGGTTTGAACTGTGGAGATTATGGCTAAGTGTTGTATTCTTATCCAATTTTCCTGTGAGAATGTTTTTTCCCTTCAATTTTCATCCAAACGATCCTAAATTATATTTATACCATCAATGATGCATATGATTATTGATATTCAAATATTCAGGTAAATATTCAAAATGATTTAGACCTAAAATAATCTTTTGATAGAATGAATCAAATTTAAAATGTATAATTAAGATGAAAACATGATGTATTTTTGATAATTCAAAAGCCCAAGGCCCCATTTCCAAAATAAAAATAGAGCAAATAGAAGAACAGAAATAATGGCTTCGGCAAAGTAATGCAGAATTCTGTCGAAAAAATAATGCAAGTATTCAAAATTATTTAGTCCAAAAATAATCTTTTGATAGAATGAGTTAAATGTCAAATTTACAATTTGGATGAAAAAAAAGTGTTTGTGATCAAAAGCCCAAGGCCCCCATTCCTAAAATAGAGCAAAAAGAAAAAAGAAACAAAATGCTCCAGCCAAGCGATGCAGACTTCTGCCATTTGTCATATAATCGTTACGTGAAATAAGTTCTGCCATGATGGTAAAAGATATGTACGTATAAAGTATCTATTGATCCACGAATGGTTCGGTATACATCGTAAAGATGGCTAGAATACGATGGCTTGGAGGAATTAAGTGTAATGCCCTGGACGTGATCGCCATAACAACAAATGTCTGATGGTCCTTTCTCATGGGAAATCAAAATGACAGCATTTTTCAAGAAATATTGTAAAAAACTGGGACACATTTTACAAGAAATCTAGGAAAAATACATTCGGTGAATTAGTGAACATGAAAGAATTTGAGAGATTAATGCGTCTAGCGTGAAACAGTGATTTATCTCCGACCTTCAATATTGTGACAAAATCAGAAATTCCACTATAAATCAAAATTTCATTGGTAAACTAATACCAGTTTTTAGTTTTAATATAATTTTTTAATATAAAAACATTTTTAAGACTTTTCTAGTAAGAACAATTTATAGTTGTGTCAGATTTATTCTGTTACGAAAATTTGACAGAATTTTAAAAGGTGGTCTATGAAGTAATTTTCTTTGTACATTTGAAATCACTTTACAGGCATGTGTATTGATTAGGGGTGTCACAATATGCTTGGAGTGTATCACAATAAATTGCAATGCAGAAGGAATATATTGTGATTGGGTCCCCGTTATATTGTCGTAGGAAAAAGTGCTCAATATAAAAACAAATAACTGTCAGAATGATTTCTAACTGAACCATATATCGTATGATCACACAGATTTAAGATTTTTCGTTAAACCTACGATCGATTATGAAATCTCTGTTTATTTCTCGCCCCTAGTAAAAGCTTGTGAATGAATGGTGGACAAAGTTAAAACAACATAAAAATAAAGCTTTGGAAATTTTTTGCGATATAGTGATATTTCATTTCTGTATTGTGATGAGATATGATATGCCCATGTAAGGCAATATGGTTTACCGATATTTTGTGACAGCCGTTGTATTAATTTCATTTTGTCCGACTAAGTATGGATTAATAGCATCCATTGACAAGATCGTATTTGCTAGTCGTAGGATGTGTACTGAATGAGATGTGATGATAGTTCAGCAGTGGCCATATAATAGGTATTTTTGTATCAGAATAACTTGGTATGCTGTGTTTTAGTCATAGCGTATAGGGAAAGATCAACAGTAAGCAGACTAGATTCAATATCGAAATATCTTCATTGTTGTGTAGGTTTTGGGTTAAGCAGATGTTCCAGTCCCTAAAAACTGAACATATAATTTTTTTTGCCGTTTTAGTGACTGACAGGAGTTTTCATTAATCTTGTGAAAAGGCCCTGGAATCCAGGGTTTCTTCCAAACACAAATGCGGTGGACTGCTGAGGAAATGGCCTCTGGTCATGATCAGTTTTCACATCTTTGATCTTTCAGTGGATAAGACAGCAATACATACATTTATATACCAAGTAGATAATCGATTTTCAAATCAAAATGTTTTCTCAAAGTATTGATGCACAAATGCAATGTTGTGTGAACATTCCTTGTAGGGTTGCAGGAAATGTTGATTTTTTTTTTTTGAATATTTCGTAAACGTGATTCTGCAATGACATATATGTAGGTGAACAAGCCGCAGACTACAATTCCCATAGCATCTGGGGTATCTTTAGATGATCTGTTGAGGTGCCTGATTGTGATGTTTGTGTGTGGCTAAATATATAGATACCCCAGTTGTCATGGTTCATACGTTTCTCATGTTACCATCATCACATTGAATAACAAACTCTTTCCTTGTCACATCGCAGGGTGATAATTTATATAACGACTGTTGAGATCTATATTTCCTCCATGTCTCGATTGTTATTCAGTCTCGTCAGCTTTATTTATGGTAGATATATATATATATATATATATGCTAATGTGTTTAGCCCTGACTGTAGATGGTTTCAGCGTACAGTTGAACTTAATGGGGTGGATGTTGGGCAGCATTTGGGGAAGGTAGATCTATACATTGTAGAATTGCTCAGGGAATTTTCAGCAGCATTTAAGGAAGATGATACTGTTGCTATGGTGATCACAGACAACCGTAGATGATGATTGCAGAGTCCTTTAGTGTTATATGAAGAAATCATTGGTGCTATATAGGCGTTGTTGGGATGTTAGAAATCATTGAAGGCAAATTGTTTGTTCCTACGGTGTTCATAAACCTTGCAGTTTTTTCAGAAATGTGTAGGTGTTGGTGGGATGATCCTTTATATTCTGTGATAGAGGTGTAGGAGTAACAATCAATAGGAATTAAATGAGTTACAAAAGATAAATTGTCGTAGCTTCCCCTCACTGATTGTCCCGAGATTAGCGTTTTAGCGAAATAGTGATATGTAATCCTTCGAGATTTTGAATTCAGGTCGAGTACCTACAATGTGTGGGCTTGAATTGTTAACTCCGGTTATTGATGTTTCTTTCTCTTTGTTCATAGGACTGGATGTGTGCCTTCCCCGTGTGTGCGTGGATTTTCTTTTTTAACTTTGCTTGATCTCTGAAATAATCCATCTATATGTAAGCTGTTTGATAAAGGCTTATGGAGGATACATGTACATGCACTGAGATTTGATTGAAATAAGAAATTTTCACAGAAATGTCACAGTTCCTCAAAAAGAATTGTGCAATTTTGTCTTTTGAAAAATAAAGGATGAAGTTTCTTTTATGAGTTGAACTTTCAAACAAAGCATTAAAGGATTTTTAATAGCATATATAAAGTACAAATTTCCATAACAAATATTCAGCAATAAGCCCACGCTTGATCATAAGCCCAGTTGTATCTTTTGCAGTTCAGTTTAAGTTTAACCATCACCTGATATTTCCTTGTCGTTATAAGCCCATCCCTCTACTTAATGTAACAGGTAAAGATGTAAAACAATGGGAATTTTGAAAGAAAACTTGACATTTTATGTTACTTTTTGAATTTTTCATTCATTGAAAATGTTCATAAGCAGTTCAAACTTTGCTGAAACTCAGTCCAACTCAAAAATATATTTTATGGAAACATGACGGTGATGATGTTAAAGATTTTTCGATCTTTCAACAGTTTTGTACGTATACACACATAACACATGCTTTTGTATCAGAGAAACGACAGACTGACCTTCACATACACCTGTACAGTGCAGTATTCATTTGTTAGGTACAAAATACAATTACACTATACTTTTATACTTTAATTCTCTGTTTTGTTTACAATATTATTCTTAGATATTTCCTTATGCACAAACCATATAGTACATAAGAGTACATTATATGTAGCAAAATATCACCATTCGATAGTTGTCTGTATAAGTTTGTCATATATTACTCGTTGTGCATTCAAATAGAATATTTTGATGTGCATGACATCACAAATCAAAGGCAAACAACAACTTATAGGGTTTCTTTCATTTCTTTTCAAGTCTTGATATTCGTAAAATGTGCTCTTCATGTATTGGATTTTATAGGATATTTGTATACGATATACTAATTTCAAACTTGTTCGAATTCCCATTCAGTCTTTCTGCTGTGAAAGGGAAACTTGTTTTAAATCCAATATAAACATTTAATGACCGGAGAAAACAACCCGGAACTGTATTGATGTTTTAGAAACTCTGAAGGATCTCTCAGGAAGCAGTACGTTCTGATATGCTGGTACAGTTATTCGTCAGAAACAGCACGTTTTCTGCAACCCATTAACGAAAATACGATTTGGCAGTTAAATACAAATGCAGGCAATCTACAAGAGCATTGATTTGATTAGGTTTTGGCAGAAGCCAAGAGGGAGAAGCCTGTTATTACATTCAAAAACTTTAAAAAAGTTATTAGAAACAGCTATTTTGCCGGTGTAGGGAAACAATACTTATTCCATTAGTCTTCGGAGGTTTCAATTATGTTTCATGTTTGTTTTTATCAGTTGATTGAATTTTACCTTGGCCATCATAATGTTGGAATATATTGGGATTATAACACCGCTTCTGTTTGTAATGTCTACCACCTGTTTTTCACTGAAGAAACATGTTGACAATTAATATATTATTCCCAGTAATGTTTTCAGATATCGATAACTATTGTTTGGTGGTTCATATATATCCTGTCACTGTGCAGCTCCTATACGGTATCCTTGTGTATTGAAATAACTTTATTAATATCGGTATACTTGGTCATGAACAACGTAGTTGGCCATCAACCTCCATCCCGATCAGTCGCTTTGTTGATACATCTATAGTAATCATCTACAATCTTATTTATTATTCATCCTCAATGAAATTGCTGACCATTCATTAACTCATTCACCCCTGAATACACATTTGAACTCTTCCAATTCAAAGGTTGGAATAGTTCATTGTGAAATTTCAGGGGTGAATGAGTTAATGATTGTAACCAAACTCCTGACCAAACTCCGTCCTGAGTGACCTAATCGATAATCTTATATTACCGTATGTATTCAGCAATAAGTCCATGCCTGGTAATAAGCCCTGACCCATGTCAAATACAGTTAAGTAGCAATACAAACAACTGCTGGCTTATTGTCCTTCAATAAGCCCACCCCCTTCTGTAAGTCGAAGTTTATTTGATGGCGTCCATGGCTTATTGCAGGATAAACATGTGAGTTAAGACAAGTGTATGGGTTCTGGGACGACTTGTATAAGACATCTCAAAGTTGAGGAAAGTCTCAAGCAGTGTGTTGTCTATGGGAGATCTTAGACTTGAGGGAATCTGAACAGTTGAGATGTTTTATACAAGTGGGGCCTGATATAACTTAAGATTTAGTGATATGTCTTTTGCTCAGGGATATTATATTTACCTCTCTGTTTTTGCAGCAATGCCGAGGGAAGTACCAGCGAGCTATCCTCTATGTTTCTGGTGACGCCCTCAGAGTGGTGGATGAGATTAGTAAGGTATGTACATCTATATTTTTCACTGTCAGTGGGGCGGTACAGAATTTTTGTTGTCAAATTTATGCATCCACAGTGATGAATCTGAACACCTTAACTTCTGATATTGCTAACCTTTCCATGAGTTCTGCATCTCATGCAGCATAATTCATGTGAAATTACTGAGGAGAGGTCGAAAACACCAAAAGAAATAGATTCATATTCCAGAATCCTTATCAGCGTTTACACCCAGAAAACAAAATATAATCGTCTAAAATTCAGAGCTGTCGAAATATGAGTTTATTTACTGTAGGAAGATTTTGATGATCTACAGTACTGGAATGTAAAACTGGATTACTTACATGTAATGATCAACCTAGGTGTTAGACAGCAGACATCAATTATCTGGGAACACCAAGGTAGTGACGGACTCTCAGTCTTCTGGTGTCTTCTTGTGGGACTGTAAAATCTAGCTTTGACATGGGCCGTCAAAATTATATATCAGCCTCATTGATTCCCTCCTTGTAAATATTATCAACAATTTTGCATGAAAGCTTGGGTAAGCTTATTGAGGCAAAACCTAATTTTACTTTGTACTTTGAATTGAACACCTGTTACTGACAGTGCCATGACCAAATGGACAGCAAATGCATTAACTCATTACCCCTGAAGACACATTTGAACTCTTTCCATTCAAATGTTTGAATAGTTCATTATGAAATTTCAGGGGTGAATGAGTTAACGTCACTAAGTTACATGTGTCTGTAGACAAATATCATGTCAGGCTCTCTGGCAAATTTATACCAAGGTCACGATAACCCTTCAAATTAACACAGTATGAAATATCATCTGTTTTCTGAACAGTTGGTTCTTCAAAGCAAAACCACATCCTGTCCAGGAAGAGCTCGCCCTCAAATAGGCAGTTATATCTCAATGTGTACCACTATCAATTGTAGGTCACTGTGACCTATATTTTGTGCTTCGCTGACTTTGTTAGACCTAACATTGCACACGTTTTCTTTGGTTAGAATTTGTGTTTCCTTCCATTTCCATCAAAGTGGGTCATATTTATTACATGTTGTCCTTATACCCTGTGTAATTTAACAGTCAGCTAAGGACAATTTTGCTTATTCTGTTACATGTTGACAACAAAACCTTTTAGCAACATAAGGTCTTTTATGGCAGAATTCACTTTCAAGGAATGAAAAAAAAGGTCAGGTCATCGGTTGATAAAACAATTTATGTTTAAGTAAAATAGAAAAATTATACCGTCCTGTCAACTCACAAAGACAAAATTGAAGCTCAAAGCTCTCACAGAAAACAACAATAGAAACGGAAGCAACCACAAAGCAGAAGGGAATGCATCATCAGCCCGATCAAAAGTCAGATTCATTGCTTGCCCATTTTGATTTGTGCCACTATCCTGACCAATCTACTGTTACATCGTACACGCTGTTCGTTTGAGGATTTTGTAGGGCCAGCCTGTGGTTTAGTACTGTAAGCTATTACACACCGATCAATAACGCTGTTCAATCATTGTCACCAAATTACAAAGAATTTCTTATCAGTCTGGGTACGGTAAGAATCTTGGAAATATGTTCACAGAGTTATTATGGGATCAATATTGCGAATCTCGGTAAAACTGATATTTAGTTCAGAAGATTTTTTTTTTTCCTGAAGTGGATGCACCATGCTGTATGTTGTAATTTATTGAAATGAAATCATTTTACATGTGCACTGATGAACCTATCAGATTGGTGTTGGTGGGTCTCGCAGTACCTGGACTTTGTTTTGAAATAAATATGTCTTCATACTTACTTCTACCTTCCATTTATTCAAGGGCTGATTTGTAATAATAGAGTTTTGTATTATCAAATACAGTTGTATATATCTTTCCATCACTTCCATATATGCATGCAATTGAGAAATACAGGAAATTTAAAAAAAGAAATGATATTTAGGGTTCAAGAAACTAAAAGGAAAGACAAACAACTCTGCATGTGTTACAATGATTTATAAATTAAATTAAGAACTCTTTCAATCAGTTCCATATGCATACAGTGGAGAAAATACAGGAAGTTTGAAAAATAGACGATATGGAGGGTTCAGGAAACTAACGGGAAGGACAAACTCTGCGCGTGTGATAATGGTTTATGAATTAAGAACCATCATATATTGTGGACATATTCATCTACTGGTCGTTATAATTATCGCAGTGCATATGCGTCACATCATCTACCTGTGTGCATATTCATTAGATCAATGTTGGGTAATGAATCACCATGGGAGGGCTTGCTGTGGCCTATCTAGTTCTGTAAACAGGTGATCTCCGGCTGATTAGTGCCTATATTTAGACTGACCAGGTAAATCATTAACGTGGCTAATAGCAAATTTATTTCAAGGTATAAGCTGCTGGTGATTTGATCAGGTAACGGACAGTTTATGTCACGAGCAAGATGAAACTGTGGGTAGTCTTTGGGGATGAATTAATCCTAGCAGGCAGGACTAATGACGAAGCCGTCCAAAGGACCTAGACTTTTAATTAAACAAATCCACTGATCTATTCATAAACGATCAATAGAAGGATGGTTATAAGGAAAGTTCATCACTGTTAAAGAACGTTTTGGGTCAACTGCATCATGCAGTGCTGACTGAAATGCTGGGTTTTCAATAAGACAACTACGCATTTTTTCCTTGAAATGCAAGTTTGGTTTTGGATAGGAATGCAGGATGGTAGCTTCCCTAGTGAAATATGAAACAAAAATGGTGACTACCTTTGTTTACACCCCTTGTTTTACATCAAAGCCGCATGTCTGATGTTATCGCGTGCATGATATCGCTCATTTGATCTCTAGCTGCCTCTAGAATTTAGCTACGCAATCACATAGTTTAAGCATTTTGCTGTATATTTGAGATGCAAACATGAAATGATACACAAACAAACTTGAGCACACCTCCTTTTGCACGGTAAGTTCTATTTTTGTACAGCTAAATGGGTAACTTCATACTGTTATGAAGGTCGGTTGGCGTAGTTGATAACGCACCGGCCTTTCTCCAAGGCGGCTGGGGCTGTCAATAAATATATATAGGGCTACCTGCCTTACTGCATTACCTGCCTTTACTATGGTTTAATTTTTCCTCCCACATTAAGACTCCCCCCCCCCATCCCTCAGCAAAAGTGATTAATATATGTTGAAATAACTTGCTTCATAATTCACATGTAAACCGTTAATAGACTATACGGTATCAAGATGTTGATGCTCTATTTTATAAATATTATACTGATTGCGAAAATATACATTGTAACAATATCAGGATTGGAACAGGTGTATTGTTTATATTAAACAAGTTTTAAATAGGTTGTTGATCCCGAGAATGGGTCTAGTTGTTGTGCGCGTTTCTCAGATTGTCCTTTTATATAACTATTGGAGACGGAACAGGGGTTATAGATGGGCGTCTATACGTGGTATATCTAGGCAATCATTGGTACTTGCTCTCCGTAATCAATCTGAACTGTCGATATTAATCTGGTAGGGATCCCCAGTTAGCAGTAGTCACTGGTTTAATTTGTGTAAACGGTATGTGAGGCCACCAGGTCAGGACATCGATGGCAAATTCATCAGGACTTGCAACTGATGATAGATGAGAATACGTAGGTCAGTCAGGCTGCTCCGGTCCACCTGTACTTAAGTATACTTACATGTGTGCAAACTTAACTCATTGACCCCTGAAGACACATGTGAACTCTTCCAATTCAAATGATGGTAAACTTTATTTTCAATTTCAGGGGTGAATGAGTTAACTACAGGTTGCGATTTTGTTTATTGTAACCAACGGTAGTAAAAGGGACATTGACCCGAGACTGAAATGGCTGCAAGACGGCAGAGGTTGGTTAACCATGTCTTGTCTAGCAGGAATAGAGAGTCGCACAGGGTTGGGTATAGATATTATTGAACTGAGCCTTACACAGAGTTCCGGCATATCTTGGGCTAGATTGAAGATTAAAAAAGTATGAGATGTCTGCTGTCGTTCCTTCAGTGAGATTGACCATACATCCCTCTGTGTATGATCAAGAGGTGTTCCTGATGACACCATATATATATATACATATAATACCGTACGCGTAGTAATCCACAGTCAAAGGTTGTCTGCTGTAAAAAAACCATTTGGAACAATGTCAATGTTATTTTAATGTTTTCTCTTGCCTGAGGATACTGCAGCTGTGTGACATATGATTCCAACCGGTGACCCTACGATCTGGTGCCCGAAGCTCTTGTGAGTTGATCAGGAAGTGCAGCAATTAAATAATTTAGGACCTGAAATGTTCACACACACTAACAGGACAGGCACTGCCAGGCAGCACAATGAATTGTATTTCTTCATCATACCTGTATATTTTTCCCTTCCTTACTGTATCAAAATAAAAATGTGTCCCTTAAACCAGCCAAAACAAGTATTGATTAACAGATTTCTTTCCTTTGTTGGTCCAAAACTTGTCTCAGCAATATTACCTGAACAAGATATTTAATAAAATTTGATCTTATGCATTGCTTTCAGAGTGCATACTAATGTTTTCAATTAACACAAATTAAGCATTATTCCTTTTTTTCAAACTGATTATTTATCCGGATAAATTAGGAGAAATATATTTTTTTGATTGGAAATAGGTATGTTACTAAAAAGTGTACGTCTGTTGTGTTACTGGGAGAGGGGGTGTTGTGATACATCACTTTCTGTCAAGGTCACGATATTAGTCTTGTTTTCCATACCATATTGCAGGTAATCAGTGGGAGATATTAGGAGAGCATGTTTTGTCTTGTATTTAAGTCCTGAATTGTTACAGCACTCAAACTCTGCTACTTAAATGACTGATCTATCATGATTTGTAAATTCGTGTCCTGAATTGTGCAGCCCATGCTCAGAAAACATGCCTCTTAAAAGACATAACTATTGTGATTGTAAATTGGTGTCCTAAGTTGTAACAGCACGGAACCTGTAGAGTACACTTCCATTGTGTGTAGGTGGAGAATGGCATTGGTTAGCAGAGACATCTAGAAGGATGCAAATCCCTAGCTTCCAGTAACCCAAATAGTATTAAACCTTCTAGCTTAGATAACACATGAATGCATTTTTGTGGAGTTTTATAAACAGACTGAAATTGATTGTGAATGAGACCCGTTGCACACAGTATCTGGGGGAACCCATTCATATTCATTCCTAGTTCGATAGAATTGCTACCTGGCTCCTGCAAGAGGCTGCAAATGCAACAGAATTGATGGATCCATCTCCTCCCCTTGGCTGGCCATGGTTGCACACCGGGAGACCTGTCCCCGTACGAGGCAGTGCCAGAGACAATTGGTATTTATGTGTTCGTGAGGACACGGTGCTGCAAGGTCACGGTGCAGGCGTGCTACCCTCAGGAATGTCAAGTACACGTAGCTCTGGTGCTGCAAGGTGATCACGGTGCAGGCGTGCTACCCTCAGGAATGTCAAGTACACGTAGCTCTGGTGCTGCAAAGTCACGGTGCAGGCATGCTACCCTCAGGAATGTCAAGTGCACGTAACCCTGGTGCTGCAAGGTCACGGTGCAGGCGTGCTCCCCTCAGGAATGTCTACACGTAGCTCTGGTGCTGCAAGGTCACGGTGCAGGCATGCTACCCTCAGGAATGTCAAGTTCACGTAACCCTGGTGCTGCAAGGTCACGGTGCAGGCGTGCTCCCCTCAGGAATGTCAAGTACACGTAGCCCTGGTGCTGCAAGGTCACGGTGCAGGCGTTCTCCCCTCAGGAATGTCTACACGTAGCTCTGGTGCTGCAAGGTCACGGTGCAGGCATGCTACCCTCAGGAATGTCAAGTACGCGGAGCTCTGGTGCTGCAAGGTCACCGTGCAGGCATGCTACCCTCAGTAATGTCAAGTACACGTAGCTCTGGTGCTGCAAGGTCACCGTGCAGGCATGCTACCCTCAGGAATGTCAAGTACACATAGCTCTGGTGCTGCAAGGTCCCGGTGCAGGTATGCTGCCCTCAGGAATGTCAAGTAGAATTAAATGGTGCAGACTTTTTCCCATTTGTATTTCATTGCCAGATCAACCCCTATGTAAACTATGTTGGACCGTTGCCATGTTTGGTAGTACAAGGGAATGTTGCTTCTGGAAATATTTGAGATGGTATCACTTAGTCTGCCATATATACACACATTGTGTTATTGGAGTACAATGATAAAATGTGATTTATATTTTGCTGTAAAATACAATAAAACCTACATATGGCTTAATGACACTATATTTCAATGTCCTCTTTTAGGTTTTTATGCCCCCGCCATAAAATTTTGGGGGGAGGGAGGGGGGTATATAGTGTTGCCCATGTTCGTCCCGTCAAACATCAAACACTGAAACTAATTTCACATGATGATAGCCCCCCCCCC